CCACCCACCACACACACACACACAAGCTCACAGGGCACAGAAACTCCACACCCAGTGACTAGTGGGTTCTTTACTTCCTCCATAAGCCATAAGCTTCCAGAGGGCAAAGACAATGTAGATTTTGTTCAACACTATGCTTTCTTCATCTGTCACAGCCTGTGGACACCCTGGCACTCAGGAATGACTGTCAGGGATAAAGACATGAAGGCATGCAAAGGAACCTAGACCCACCACTTCCTACACATGTGTCCATGGGCAAGTGGCCTGCATCCCCTCTGTAAACTAAGGGAGTGGATATGAGGATTAAAGGGTTAATAATCACACAGAGCTTACAAAAGTGCCTGGCACAGGCATAAGCACTATATGGTGTCTGTGATTAGCATAAAGTTATTTGAGTTTAAATAGCTTCTCTGCTAACCAGACCGTCAAAGCACTCAGAGATCCCTGCCCTGCAGAATCTGATTAACTGAGGCCCTGAGGAAGAGGCCTCTTTCCTGCCGCGGCCCTGGGACCCTGCAGAGGTGGTGCTGGAGTCTTTTCCAGGAGGGGGCTGCCTCCGGATGCTCTGAGAGTCTCCACTTCCTGAGGGTCACCCTGTCCCAGGGTTCCCACCCTGTGGCCCAGGAGGGCAGCAGAGGTTAGGGGTGGTGTGCTTGCCAACCCCCTTCATCATGCCAACCCCCTTCATCATGCCAGCCCAGCAATAGAAGCCCCCCTCACAAAGCCCCCTGAATGACAACAGCCGTCACACCCCTCTGCTGGGCCCACAGAGCAGGCATGTGGCTTCCATTAGGCCACATCTGGACATGCTCAGAGGCAGCCTGGATCCCTGGCAGGGTTCCGGCTAAAAGACAGGAATCCCCCCCCCTCCCGCCCCAACCCCTGTTTTCTCCTACCTCTGCCCCAGCCAGGCCTCGGGCAATGGCTGGAAACCTCCTTCTCTGGGCCCCAGGGCTACCATGGCAACAGGGCTGGGGGTCATTTCTGACCCCATGTCCTACCTCTCAGCAGGCCCCCAGGCAAACAGGACAAAGCCACCTCCCCAGCTTCTCCTCACAGAGGGCCCTTCCATCACTGGGGACCCCCCAAGTCCTCCCCCACAACAGCAGTCAGAGGCCTCTAAGGCCCCCCACTTCTCCCAAGATGCTCAACTGGACACCTGACCCAGCCCCTATCAGGCCTCCTACCAACTCCCCCTGCACATGATTGTGACCATGGATAAATCTGTGTGCCTATCAGTTCAACGCCTCCTCCCCAGCGAGACCTCAGTGGGGAGGCTGCGCCTGCCTTTCTCACTACACAGCCCTTGGCACAGACAGAGTGCTCCCTAAACATCTGCTGAAGAGATGCGCGAACTGAAGAAGGATAGTGAGTAATAATGGCTAATATTGTAACTACTCTGCAAGTACTAAGTTCCCTGCCAAGCACTGGACATGAAAAGGACACGTACATGGGCGTGTGTAGGAGGCAACTAATCAATGTGTCTCTCTCACATCTCTCTTTGTCTCTCTCTCTCACCTCTCTCTCTCTCTCCTCCTCCTCCTCCCTCCCTCCCTCCCTTCCACTCTCTCTAAAAAAAATAAATGGGAAAAAATATCCTCAGATGAGGATTAAAAAAACAACAGCCCCATGAAGCAGGGACTTCTCTGCTGCTTAAAGATGAGGAAACTGAGGCAGGAAAAGATAAGCCATTTACCTAAGTTACACAGGTGACAGGTGGATACTGGGTAGGTGGGAGGACAAAATATATTTGGGGGTGGTGGATGGTAGGCCAGTCTTTGTGTATCTGACCAGGGCCAACCTACTAGGTCCCATTTAAAGCCACCCCTTTCCCCCACCCCCATATCAGCCTCCCATTCCTTCCTTCCCCACGCACCAAAAGCTGCAGCAGCCTGTCCATCCTCATGCCCTGATCATTCTCTGTGCATGTGTGGGGCCGCTGCCAGGACAGCCTTCATAGGCGGTAAGGGGCACTCAGTCAGAGACCCCTATCCACAAGCAGCCTCATCAAAGGCCAGACTCCAAAATCCACTGAGAAAGCCCAGGGCAGAAAAGAAAAGGAAAAACCAGGGATCCTGAGAACAAAGCAATTCTCCAGGATTCCAAAGCCCAGAAGCACAGAGGCCTCTGGAGGCAAGAGGTGGGTAGAGGGCAGGGCTGAGTCTATTTTGGAAACCCTAGGGCAACGGTTCTCAACCTGTGGGTCGCGACCCCTTTGGGGGTCGAACGACCCTTTCACAGGGGTCGCCTAAGACCATCGGAAAACACATATATAATTACATATTGTTTTTGTGATCAATCACTATGCTTTAATTATGTTCAATTTGTAACAATGAAATTGGGGGTCACCACAACATGAACTGTATTAAAGGGTCGCGGCATTAGGAAGGTTGAGAACCACTGCCCTAGGGGCTGCATGCTCTGGAACCAGGCCCCCAAGCCCTCTCATTACAGCCCCACCTCAGCCCACACATACTCCTCACTCCCCACAGGCTCTGGGTGTGGTGGGAAGGAGGCCCCTGAAGCACAAGGATCAGGTCCCAGCCCACCACTCCCATTCTGTGACCTGGAGCCTCGAGAAACACCTCTCTGACCTCGAAATGAGAAGAAACGTAACTCCTTGGCTTGGGGGGAACATCAAGTCACGGAAACAGGGCCTGGAGTACCAATAGGTGCTCTGTGAGGATGAACTGTGTGCCTACCCACTGTAAGCAGGCTGGGTGCAGAGCCCTCTGGGCTTTTGGATCACCTGGCCTACAAGTCAGAGGAACCTGCATGTGCACAGGCTTTGCACACAGCTGCTGCCCAGCAAGGCCTATAGCACTTGACAGATGGGAAAAGGGGCCCAGGCCAGTTAAGAGACTTGCCCAAGGCCACACAGCTGTGGGCATCAGGGTGGGTCAATGGGAATGCTGCAGAAATCCCAGAGTCCCCTCATGCCCCATCCTCCAAGAAGCCTTCCCAGATACCTCCCAGGCATCTCCCCCTCACAGCCCCCCACCATAGTGGTTCATTCCTGCCTCCCCAGGGCCCACCAAGACCTGCTCATTATTTATACCTAATAAAGGTTTGTAGAGTTATTGATATGAGACTGAACAAGACACAGACCCTTAGCTGTGGAGAGAGATCACTAGACAACGAGGTAAGTCCCCAGAACACCCTCAGTGGGGAGAAAGAAAATGGAGCTGAGGGGAGGGTCAACAAGACACAAAGATTCAAGGAAGGCTCCTAAAGGAGGTGCACCTGTGCTCGTTGAAAACAGTGAACACGTGTGTGGAACAGAGGGGGAGACAATGCTGCAGGGTTCATGGGACGGCAGGGGAATTAGGGAGAAGAGGGATGACTGCTAGAGGGGTGGCCACAGAGCTTGTATTGATTCACTCATTCATTCACCCAGGCCCTGCTGGAGGCTCCTGTACACAGCAGAAAGATGACAGATGTGGTCCCTCTGCCCATGGCACTAACATTCTACTAGGAAAAATTACAGCAAGGTAAGAGGAAGGTATGGTGTTCTTTTAGTTCGGTGCCCAAGAAAAGCCTCTCTGGGGAGGTGACCTTGAACAGAGAGCAGAATGGAGTACAGGAGTGAACCAAATGGACACCTGGAAGAGCATTTCAGGAAGAGCAAGTGGCAAGTGCAAAGGCCCTGGGGCTGCTATGGTATCTAGACCAGGGGTCCTCAAACTTTTTAAACAGGGGGCCAGTTCACTGTCCCTCAGACCGTTGGAGGGCTGGACTATAGTTTAAAAAAAAACTATGAACAAATTCCTATGTACACAGCGGCGGCAAAAACACCTGGCGGGCCGGATAAATGTTTTTGGCGGGCCGCATGTGGCCCGCGGGCCGTAGTTTGAGGACCCCTGATCTAGACAGATCAGTGGGGCTGAGCACAGTGGGTAAGAGGAAGGGTTGCTAGGAACTGAATGTTTATCCCCCACCCCCATACCTGTGTTAAAACCCTAATCCTCAATGGGACAGTATTGGAGATGAAGCTTTTGGGACGTGATTAGATGATGAAGGTGGGGTCCTCATGATGGAATCAGTGTCCTAAAAAGAAACAAGCAAGAGTTTGCTCCTCCTGTAATGTTATCTCAGATGAGATGTATCCTCGCCTGCTCTGCCATGTGAGGACACAATGAGAGCCTGGCCATCTGCAAACCAGGAAGTAGGCCCTCAACCCAGCCTTCACCTTGGATTCCCAGCCCACAGAACTGTGAGAAATAAGTGTTTGTCATTTCAGTCACCCAATCTGTGGTATTTTTTGTTACAGCAGACCAGACAGACTAAGACAAGGGTGATGGAGATGAGATGCAAGAGGTCGCAGGCAGGCTGTGCAGGGCCTGTGGCCCGAGAGGGCTGTGGATTCTACACTGAGTAGGTGGAAGCCACGGCAGGTGCAGAGCAGAGGAATGAGAACAACTTGTGTGTTAACAGAACCAACTGGAAGATGTGCCGGACATAGCCCTTGACTCTCAGAAAGAGCTCTCATGTGAGACTGCATGCCCTAGGCTGTCTCCTCAGAGACCAAGGTCACAGCCATGCCTGGAAGGATGTGAAACTCATCACCTCCTGCTGGGGTTCTGTGGACACTCCAGGCCCCGCCTGCACTTAAGCAGGACCCTCCTCAGGACCCCCAACCCTGTGAGGGTGCCTATTGGGCCTTTGACCACAGCCATACCACGCATGTAGCCCAGCACTGACTTCAACAGGAACCTCACCTGCACCCACCCACTCCATTCCCAGGAGCTAAGCCAGGGAGAAAGTGGTATCTAAGCTCATGCCCTAAAGTGTGGGGCACTCAGACCCAGCTTCTCCTGCCCCAGGCAGCTGTACAGAGACCTAGGCAGTTACAGGGCCCAGGGCTGCCTTCCCTGGACTGAGTGCTAGGGAGAAACTTGAAAGACGCTTACCTTCAGGGTCACCTCTGGGGACAGAATGGACAGAGTTGGGGTCAGTGTCCTCCTCTGGCCGAAGATGGGGCAGAGCTGGTGGCTGCTTGGGCACTTCCTGGATAGGTGGGACCTGGGTGGCCTCATGGGGAGGTGTGGTCAGGATGGTGTGGCTGCTGGGCTTTGTTGGGTTTCCGGGAGAACTCGATGTGGCCTGAGACTGGAGGACACTGGCCGTGCTTGACCCCAGCATGGGGCTGGCTCCCTCCTGTCCAGTACTTTGTGGGGTGGCCTGGGCATCTGGGATAAGGTTATCTTCGGGCCTTGCCCTGGCATCTGCCTTCTCCTCTTGCAAAGGGGGACTGGGCTCGGCTGGGCCTGCACCGGGAGGCCCATCGAGCCCCCTAAGGCCACCTGCTGCCAGTGGCTCCCTGACAGCGATGTCCTCCCTCTCCTCCTCCCCTGGCCCCTGGCTGTCCTCCATCACTCTCCTGGCTTTGGCTTGAACAGGAGCTGGCGGACCCAGGGCAGCAGCCGCTGTTGGCCTGAGGAGAACGGCCAGCCAGGGGGTGGCCTGGATGGCAGACAGTGGCTGACTTCCACCTCCCAGGGTGGCTGGGGCCCCTGTGCTTGCCTGAAGCTCGCCTGCCAAAGCCGCTGCGGCTTCTGCTTCAGCCACCTCCTGGTCATAACTGTAGGGGTCTTCGTAGTGTCGCTCAGGTTCATTCTCCTCAGCATCTGAGAAGTTCCCACTGGTGGCAGTGGGCATGGCCTTGGCATCTCCATGGCAACTGGGGACCTGGTAGCAGATGAGCTCACCACCAGTGTCAGGACAGTGGCAGGCCTGGCACGGTGGCAGGTGGACTGTGTGACCAGCAGCATACTTGCGGCCAGCGTGCACGCAGCCCACCTGGCCGCACTGCGGGCAGCTGTCAGCTGCCACCACAGTCTCGATGCAATTGGGTGGGAGCTCAGGGCACAGCATGAACTGGCAGCTGATCTTGCCGCCACCTGGTGGGCAGGAACACTCAGTGCTGCCAAAGTCCACAAAGTAGGACTGGCCTGCGGGTACACGGCCACGCACGAAGCCACCCTGCAGACAGTCATAGTACTGGTAGCCCTCGCAGGCACAGCCCTGCTGCACGCACGTGGCACAGCAGGCGCCCGGCTCCAGCGCCTCCTCGATGCAGTTCTCCAGCGGCGGGCACTCGACACCCGTGCAGTCCTGCCGTGGGGCTGCTGCACCTATGCTGGCACCCAGGGCCAGGGCCAGGGCCAACCAGGCTCCTACAGGCTCCCAGAACATCACCATGGTCCCACCGCCAGCCCAGGTGCAGCCCAGGTGCCACCTCGAGCCAAAAGGTCCCCTCTCCTGCGAGGCCCTGGGGGAATCAGAAAGGACACCTGTCAGCACCATATGGGGCCTACACATGAAAACACATGCACCGCCCAGGCACACACACACCTGCACATGGCTGGATGAAGCCTCAGGCTCTTTCACTCACACACATGCCCTTATCCCAATGTCCCCATGTCCCCAAGCATAGTGTCTGGTGGGGCAATGACAGAACAATGGCCACTTAGTGTCCAGCAGAGCCAGGAAAGGAGATCTGCCTCTGCTAGCCACTCAGCCAGCACCAACCGAGCAGATCCTCTGTGCACAAATCCTTCTAGAACTTGGGGTTTATTAGCAAACTAGAGGCCTGGTGCATGAAATTTGTGCACTCGGGAGGGGGATCCCTCAGCCCAGCCTGCACCCTCTCGCAGTCTGGAAGCCCTCAGGGGAGCGGGCCTAAGCCAGCAGTCGGACATCCTTAGCACTGCCACAGAGGTAGGAGAGGCTCCCGCCACCGATGCTGTGCTCGCCAGCCGGGAGCCTGGCTTCTGGCTGAGTGGCGCTCCCCCTGTGGGAGCGCACTGACCACCAGTGGGCAGTTCCTGCGTTGAGTGTCTGCCTCCTGGTGGTCAGTGTGCATCATAGTGGCCGGTTGTTCTGCTGTTCGGTTGATTTGCATATTAACCTTTGATTATATAGGATAAGACAGGCTTCATGGCCATTCTGCTAGCACTGACCCTCTGATGTAGGGAGGGAGATCATAAACCCACAGCAATTCAGTGGGTTTCTGAATGTGATAAGTACAATGAAGAAATAAATGAATGAGAGCAGGGAAACGGAACAGGGAGTGCCGGAAGCTGGTTCACCATTGAGGCTTGACACAGTTGCTGCAGGGAAGAAACATCTGCACAGCTTATCTTTCAAGGGACCTGGCGTATATGGCATATGTTTGCTCCCCCTCTTAACGCTATGTGTTTTAAACAGGACCACCTCCCCTAGAAAGGTTGTTTCCCCAGGTGAGGATTTTTCCCTGAAGTTAGGGAGGGAATAAAACCCCTTAACTAAGTGCCAGGTGGGTAGTTAATCACTTTAACTACGAACAATCATGCTTAAGCTACATAATCTTTACTCCCTGGAATGGAGATAAGAAATGCCCTAACCTTTGGAATAGAAATTGATAGGATTAAAATCAACTGGTATAAAGACAGATGTAACAAGACAATAAAACACAGAACCTGGCTGGAGATCCGGGCTAGATCCTGGCTGGAGAACCTCGCTATGCTGATGAACTGAACCCTGTCTCCGTGTCCTTCCTTCTTCGCTGACTCCGTCCGCACCTTTGGGAACCCCTGGACCTGCTGGGGTTAGACCCCAACAAGGGAGTAACCAGGATGGTGTAGCTGCTGGCTTTGGGTGTAAAAGAGCTGATTTTAGCCAGGTGGTCAAGCAAGGCTTCTCTAAGGAAGTGGCATTTGAGCTGAGATCTGAGTGAATCAATGGAGACAACCACCTGAATGTCTGTAGGCAAAGTATGTCAGGCGACAAGAATAGCAGGTACAAAGGACCTGGGGCAGGACCAGAAGGAGGGAGATGAGGAACGGTAGAACACCATCACTGCTGAGCAAATTGAGCAAGGGTGAATGTGATGGCAGCCAGATCATGCGAGATTCTGATTACAGTGCGGGCTGCTGGAAGCCATGGCCTGGAATGACTTGATGGGCTCTGTTAGGGCTGCTTTGTTGAAAACATGGGAGCCGGGCCAGAGCCGAGAAGCCAGTCATAGGAGGCGGGAGAGGACAGTGGACAGGGGAATTTTGAAGTAGAGTTGACAGGATTTGCTGCTAAACTGCATGGGTGTAACAGGAGAGGAGTCCACGATGAGCCCAGGTTTTGGCCGAAGCACCTAGAAGGATGGAGCTGCCGCTTCCTGAGGCAGGAAAGGCTGTGGAAGGAGGGCCATGGACCCACAGGGGAGACATGCAGTTCAGTTTGGCAGTACTGAGTTTGAGAAGCCCAGGGATCATCCAAGTGAAGATGGTAAGAATGCTACCGGGGACAGGAGTCTATGCCCAGGCCAGGGGGCCAGGGAGGTTGCTGGACTCCAAGAGGTAACATGCACATCCCCCAAGCTGAGAAGCCACTCCAGGAAGGGGGAGGGCTCCATACACCCAGGTTGATTCGGAATCAGTCTCAGGGAGAACCAGGCCTGCTGTCCCCGTAACAAAGTCAGCGACTCTCCATGGAAGTAGAGTGGACAGCACAAAGGCCTTGAGTCAATGCTCAAGTGTCATTTAAGAAAAGAAACATTTGCAGACCTAAATCCTCCTCCCACCCTCCATCTGCCTTTCCATTCATCACACACTCACATGAACAACACACCCTAAGAGGGAAATATTCCCACCAGAGGTTGGCAGGTTCCTCCCAGAGGACCTTTGTTGCTACCCAGGCCCGCTATACCCCACCCACCCCACCGTGCATTCTCCTACAAGTCAGTCCATTAGTTCTGCTCACCCTCTCGGCCCCCACAGTGACCTGGCCCTAGGATCCTATCCCCCAGCATCATGCTTTGCCCACACACAAGTGATTCTATATCTTGGATTCACCCCTGCCCCAGGCCCAGAGTGATGATGAGGAACATTAGAGCCTGACTTTGTGTTTTCCTCATTCACTGTGCAAATCTAAGCAAGGCCCTTGCCCTCTCTGAATCTCGGCTCTGCATCTGTGTACAGTGAAGAGGTTCTACCACACCTTTGGTTCTGGCCAGGAGGCCACAGGTACTATCTAGCCCAGTGATGGCGAACCTTTTGAGCTCGGCGTATCAGCATTTTGAAAAACCCTAACTTAACTCTGGTGTCGTGTCACATATAGAAATTTTTTGATATTTGCAACCATAGTAAAACAAAGATTTATATTTTTGATATTTATTTTATATATTTAAATTCCATTTAACAAAGAAAAATCAACCAAAAAAATGAGTTCGCGTGTCACCTCTGACACGCGTGTCATAGGTTCACCATCACTGATCTAGCCCATGACTGCACTTGTTTATCCCACATGGTGGGTTTTTAGTTTTAAATTAGTTACCAATTGGAAATGTTCACATGAAAATTCAACTCCTCTTGAAAACCACTGAACCCTGGTCACCCTAAGATGTCACCCAGGACATGGGGCTCTCAGTCCCACAAAGGCCACATGACCTCTCCACTCATGGTGGCAGGGTCTGTTTGAGATCAGAGTTTCCCCAGGCTCACCTCTGAACTGGGAACCCATGGTCATTCCCACTGTGGCCTCCAGCTGGGAGGGTGGAGGTCTGGGCCCTGCATGCTGCTCAGAGTCCCTGGTGCTATCTAAAGGTTGTGTGCCCATCCATGAGGGGGATGGGGCCAGCTGAGATGTATCTGGAGGAGGTGGATCAGTAAGGAAGGGGGGAGTTAGCCTCAAGAGGCCCTGGTACATCTCTACAACTGCTCTGAATGTTTCATGGGCCCATGGGTGTGTATGTGGTGGGTGGGGGGTGGGGGACAGGCACACTCCCAAGATGGGAGCTCACCAGGCCCAGTGAGAGGCAAAGCAAAACCCACACAGTCTCTGCCCTATTCCTGCCAACTAAAAAGCTGGATAATGCATGCACATTAATAATAATATGATTACTCAATTCCCAGCCAAGGGCATGTACCTAGGTTGCAGGTTCAATTCCTGGCCCTGGCTGAGGCATGTGCAAGAGGCAACTAATCAAGGTGTCTCTGTCACATCAATGTTTCTCTCTCTCTCTCTCTCTCTCTTCCTCCCTCCCCTCCACTCTCTGTAAAAATCAATGGAAACAAATATCCTCCAGTGAGGATTAACAATAATAATAATACTATTTAAGACTAGAGGCCCGGTGCATGAAAATTCATGCACTGGAGGGGGGGGGTCCCTCAGCCCGGCCTGGCCCCTCTCACAGTCCGGGAGCCCTCAGGGGCAGGAGGCAACCCAGGGATCAGGGGAAGGTGACGCCCCATCACACCTCTGCTGCTGCCACTGCCGGCAGCACAAGCCTCGGACAGGCCTGGTTACCTGAGCCTTGGGCGGCCCTGGGTGGCTGGGCAGCCTCCATCAGAGGCTTGCCTGCACCTCAGGCCGGCCCTGGGTGGCTCAGAGGCTGAGGGAACTGGGGGACTCTGGAGACAGGCACCCCGGCGGGGCTGAGGGGACTGGGCACCATCTTGTGGCTGTGGGCGCCACCATCTTTGAGGGCGTGACAGCCAATTAGCATACTCCCTCCTTATTGGCTGTGGGTGCCACCATCTTTGTAACCACTGTCTAAGGCAGTGATGGCGAACCTATGACACGCTTGTCAGAGGTGACACGCGAACTCATTTTTTTTGGTTGATTTTTCTTTGTTAAATGGCATTTAAATATATAAAATAAATATCAAAAATATAAGTCTTTGTTTTACTATGGTTGCAAATATCAAAAAATTTCTATATGTGACACGGCACCAGAGTTAAGTTAGGGTTTTTCAAAATGCTGACACGCCAAGCTCAAAAGGTTCGCCATCACTGGACTAGAGGCCTGGTGCACGAAATTTGTGCACTGTGGGGAGGGTGTCGCTCAGTCCAGCCTGCACCCTCTCCAATCTGGGACCCCTCGGGGTATGTCTGACTGCCGGTTTAGGCCCGATCCCACAGGACATCCCTCTCACAATCCAGGACTGCTGGCTCCCAACTGCTCGCCTGCCTGTCTGCCTGATTACCCCTAACCGCTTCTGCCTGCCAGCCCGATCGCCCCCAACTGCCCTCCCCTGCCGGCCTGGTCACCCCCAACTGCCCTCCCCTGCTGGCCTGATCGCCCACAACTGCCCTCCCCTGCGAGCCATCTTGTGGCTGTGGGCGCTGCCATCTTTAAGGGCAGGGCAGTTAATTAGCATATTCCCTCCTTATTGGCTGTGGGCACTGCCATCTTTGAGGGTGGGGCAGTCAATTAGCATATTCCCTCTTTATTAGATAGGGTGATGATTATAATGCCAGCTGACCTAAGTGACCACTGGGTGGACACTCTGAACAGCAACATATATGCAATTAA